GACCGAAAGATGTCGGAAGTGTTGAATGCGATTGCGTTCTCTATCGATCCTGAAACAGAGTCTTCTTAAAGAGATGTAGCACTATCTTCGTACGAAATACAAAGCTGTATACGCCAACGTGTATAAGCCGCGCGGTCTTTAAAGGCATAGAGAAACGGGCATAGGTATTTTTATTCCGAACGGCGATACGATCGTTACGAACGAAGGAGATAATCTTACATCCTTCTCGAGATTTAACGTCGCGAGTTTTCATTTCAGAAACTTTCTCCGAAGATCGAGAAACTTTACTTTCCGTGGACGGAAAAATGACTTCTTTCTTTCTTTCTCTCTTTCTTTCTTTTCGCGCGAATACACAAAATTCGCGAATACAAAGACGCGGGGAGGCGACGACAGAAATAACTCGGGGACATAATTCTTTCTCGCAATTCCTCCGTTCGGACGGTCGCGAATTCCGAGCGAAGCGACACGGGGTCGCGAGACGAGGCACGGTATTGGATAATACCAGGGGCAGACGGGTTCTGCGAGAGAACCATCCATTTAAAATGTCTCCCTTAAATCTCCAACACCACCGGCAACCACTACCATCACCGCTGCCACCGCCACCATCTCCGTCTCCACCTCCACCTCCACCGACGCTACCGACTTTCACAGTAGTCGCCTCCAACCTCACCTCCCCCCTAACCTCCCGCCCTCTGAGGGCCTCCCTCGCACAGCCACCGGTTTCTTCCACCCCTCACTTTTATATCCACCTAAATCCATCCATTTTAAATGACGGATATTTTCTCCGAGCGACTGTATGGATTTTCATACTTTCTTCGAAGGAGAGGAGGAAGCGTGCATAGAACGGGCGCGCCATTTGTCCCTTAATATTTTCGCGCGCACGATCAAGGGATGCTGTACTCCTCCCCCCTCCGATCCCTTTTTAACCATCGAAACCCAACCTTTTTTTCGTTTCTCCGCTCGAAAATTCGATATCGAACGGTATCGTCGTCGTCGTTCTTCCATTCGTGAAAATGAAAAAGAAGAAAAGAGATCCTCCCCTCTCTCTCTTTCTCGACGATCGTTCTATCTCGCTCCTTGCTCGAGATTATTCTTATTCTTTCTCTCGTGGCTGAAGAGACTCGGCTAAGTCGATCGAGGTGAAATTTCGAAGAGGAGGTGTCCACGAAGAATCGAGAGGTCTTGGTCGCCGACAATGCGCCATCGAACAATAGCAAAGTCAAAGAAGAAGAGAGAGAGAGAGAGAGAGAGGTCAGCCGTGTCAACGCGCGAACGTAAGTGTAGAGAAGTCGCGGGAAGGCAAGAGGTGTCGCACGTAGGTATCGAACGTATCATGTATTATTAATGCGGATGTCGTCAACCTGATTCCTTTCTCTTTCTTTTTTCTTCTTTTTTTTCCTGTCTCGTCTCTTCTCAACCCGCGGAGAATCTAAATGCAACGCGTGTAACGCGTACAACGCTTACGTTACGCGCGCGACCGAAAATATTCATCGCCGTCCCCTCTCCCTTTCGTCTATGATTCTAATAGGTGGACGAGAGGATGGGTGAATAAGTGGACGGGTGGATGGCTCGCGTTCACAAAATTAACGGAAGGATTCGTATCGTCGATAGTCGAAAGTGTGCGTTGTAAAATATACAATAATTACACGAGTCTGGTGCGTTATGCAAGGTCGACCGAATGCGGAAGGAACGTCGGGTCTCCGACGTCGAGGCTTCGAGAAACCAAGTATGAACGAGAAAGGGACGCCGCCTTCTTCCATTAATCTCGCGGCAATCGAAATTAGCATAATTGACGGAGCGGAGAATAGCGGCCTGTTCGACTCTGAAACGCCATCTCGTATAATCTGTCCATATATCTCACTCAGTGTTTTCCGATAAAGCACGCATCCGCGAGAGGACCAATCGATCCATGGACAATCGTCCACGACATTCAACGATCATTCGAGAAGTCGTTTAGAGTAGAGTCCCTTTTTTCCTCTCTTTCTCTCTGTCTTAAAACAAATACGTAAATAATGCGATTATTCGAAAATATAGAAATCGAAAATCGGATATGGCTTTACCATCTCTTAAAAAATCCCCTTCCACTCCCGATTTATCCTCCTTTCTCTCCTTTCTTCCTCCCTTATCCACCAACTCGCATCTTCTCGAGCAAGACGTATCGACACGGATTTTTTTCCGCGTCAGTCATTTATCAAAGCCGTTCGTTCTCTCTCCTCCGCCTCTTTCATTCGATACACGCGAACTTAGACGAGGATTTAGGCAAAGAGACGGCCACGGGGAAAGAAGGATGGGAGGAAAAAGGAGCAAGCGTTCCTCCCTTCTTTTTCTTTTTCCTTTTTCCCCTCTATCCGCCCTCCGAAAGGAAAAACGTTCCTTTCGCGGAAGATGAGAAAATCCTCGAATCTTACGTAAGAGAGTAATACTGGTAGTAGTAGTAGTAGTAATAGTAGTAGTAGTAGTAGTAATAGTAGTAGTAGTAGTACGGTGCTGATAGAACACTTTGAAAGAAAAGGTGAAAGAGGTCGCGAGCAAGAGGTGGTCTCTATCTATCATTGCCTCGCGGGTTTCGCATCCATCTTCCTTTTCCACCTCGTCCTACTGCCCCCGAGCCTCTTGCGCATCCTATCCTAACAGCCATACTGCGCCGTTATTCTCTCCATTTTCCGTCTTTTCTAATCCGATAATCTATCAAGAAGAATAGAATTGGAACGAAATCGCGAACAAGCGACGATTCCGCAATTGCTCCTCTTCCTGCAATCCTCTCTTCTATCGGCTNCCAAAATAAAGAAGAAAGAGACACGACGCATTGCGCGCGTTAATTTCTCGA